TCACCTTCTGTCTACTTGTGTATCACATTTTAAGTTAATTTTGGGAATCAATTTGGAGTGTTTTACTAAATTTAAAGGCTGTATGCAAATGCAATTACTTTTGTTGTAGTAAGAGGTAAATGCGATGAAAAGAAAGCCATATGACATCACAAATTTAAATGTGCTTTTTCACTTCCAGATACTACTTTGTCTACGGTGACTGAATCTTGATAACATTAAGATTACAATAATTATTGCACGCTTGTAATTAAATTTTGTCTTTTTAATTGCCTTAAGACCTCATTCAGTTTAATTATTAGTGTGTTACATTTGCTGTTGACCGTGACTTGGTGGTAGTTCATTCACTGAGCCACATATAGTCATGGACCTGAGCACCACTCTTGAGCACATATTCTAGAGGGGCACTTCAGTGCAGTCAGTACTGTTTTGACAGCATATTGCACTGAAGTTTCACTTTTGGCTGAAATATTATTAAACAGGACATTAGACCATTCCATTTTGTTATTCAGCAATGAATGGGGTGGTGACAGGGGTTTGAGTAGAGAAAAGGTGGGGAAAAAAGTGGAAACCTCCAGGTGTTTGCTAATATTTATTTTGCAACTGGCGCTATATTTATATAAAAAAAACTGGCTCTTTATCCCATTGCTGAGACCTTGCTACATAAGTTGGCTACTGAAACCTTGAATAAGTTTCTTTTAAATTGACTACATCGATTGTCACGTTCTTTTGGAAAGTGCCGAAATCATTAAAAGTGAATATTAAATGCATGGTCATTCATAATGAATAATATGACCAAAGTCATCCCTAGTGGTTTAATATTTTTATTAAAATGCTTTCAATATCCAAAATACTGTTTTGGTATATTTGCAATCTGATTGTTTCAACAGATCATAGAAGCTGGATATAAGCAAGTAGAATGATTTAATGTAGATATTGACCCGGATTTGTGTTAGATTGAAGGTAAGGTTGTCAGCAGTCACTGGGATCACCGTGTAAATTGGGAAACTATTTCTGAAGCGCGCACAAGTGCACTTTAACATCTAGAAGTTCTATGACCAGATTTACCCTACTCCTTCTCAGGCTGGACTATAACAGAATCACATCACCAGGCTGGATGTGAAGTTGCAGTGCAAGTAATTGGCCACTAATTACTCAAAATAAATGAGAAAATGTTACTGCTGGTGTATTCAAGAAAATTTTAATGGTGTGATCATTGATCATTGTTGCCGAAGAAAATTTTATTTCCTGAGGGTCTGTTCTCATTTGATCAGAAGTTAATTCCTGTGGGAGATTTTTTAATAAAACTTCTCTCTGTTTTTCCTATCTCGATTCCAGCTTTCCCAATCTTTATATTGCTAATTACAAATGTTTTCAATCTTATTTTTGCACTCTACTTTCTTGGGTTTAAAATCTGTGCCTGAGAGGACCATTTATTCTGGGCATGAAAAGGCTTTGGGCCATGTGAGTGTTATGAATGATGAGCACTGTCCCTTTCCCATTTTGGTGCTATTGTATTTTATATTGCATGTTCAGTTATGAGATTAACTCATTTTTTGAGCCTTTTGAGATATTTACTGTCTGAATATGTTCAGTACAATGCCATAAAAATCAAAAGGACTTGAAAATCTTGAGGATTTTTAATACTGCAGTTGAACAACAGCCATTCAATTCAGCAGGGTGTAGGCTTTTATTCCAATGTACCCTGAGCTGTTGGGTTTACTCTGCATATCTATAAACCTGGACATTTCTAACAATGGAGTATACTTAATGTTCTTTATGAGGACAGAGTCCACGACAAAAAATACTGCAAAAATCTTATCTGCATATGCACACAATCACAAATGAACCCTTTTATGTGTACTTGTCCAAAGATCAGACCAGAACAGGTGGTCAGTCTCCATTTTTAGTCGTTGGTTAATCAGCTTCTTCCCTGAATTAGCTAAATTTATCCTGTGCTGCAAGCTGTTTTTCAGTTCTTTTCATACAAAGAAGCTATGTATCCAAAGTCTTGATGCTACCCACTCTCCAGCAACTGATCAGTTTGACAACTGGCACACGTCACAAGTGTGTCATGCCTTCCACATTGGTCTGATTGATTAACTTATTAAGACTTGCTTGTGTCTTCTTAGAAAGACGCTTATCTCTTGTTTTAATGAGCTGTGACCTCAGCCTACCTTGCACTTGCTATTTGCTACTTATATGGCATCCAATCAACTATGATATTTATGAAACTTAATTCCATGACAATCAAAGTTCCAGCTTTCTCCCCAGTTATTGTGACAGTTTAGTCCATTACTGCTGAGTTACAGTGCTTCAATCTAAACACACATACATGTTCCTTCTGCCAAACTGAAACACTTTAAAAACCAATGACCTTTCTAAGCATTAGGTTATTACCAAGTCTCTCATGTTTTCTCCTTATCTCAGTCATTTAACTTTATTTTTAGAACCCAGCGAATTTTACGTAATATTGACAAAGAACGGGGTTACGAATAAGTTAAACATCCATTCTTGGGATCAAACATTGTGGCCCCATTTTGTTTTTAAAAGCCAGTCCTAGTTTACACATTTTAAATTTTTAAAAAAATAAAACTGACAAATCGAATAGATTTGGCATATTGCTATTGACTGTCATGTAAAATGCTAAAACACAACCTGACCCCAGATAATGTTGTTACTACTCTGAACTGGCATTATAAATTTCACAAATAATTATCCACAGGCCTAATGTTACTTGTTATATTAAGTATGCCGCGTTTTCTGTGATCCAAGAATTCACTTTATAATCCAATATTGAGTTAATTGATCCTATAATATGACGAATGGTAATAGGCATCTTCAAGGGCCTGTTTGCTACTTTTATTTTGTACATGTTGGCTTATGCAATTTTGAAAGGAGTGAGATACATTTCATTGAGACAGGAGACGTGGTTAGAAAGCAGTTCATTTTGTAAGGAATGGAGCTGAATGCTATATAGATTTCTAATAAATCTGCCATCTAACATAAAGACAGTAGGAAAATACATCTCTGCCATTCTTCCACGTGAGCTAATTTTAAAGTTAGCAGTCCCATAAGCTAACTGCAATTGTGCTTTTGATAATGAGCAGAATGAGTTTGCTCAACTAATTTTGAACAACTGTATCTGACTCATTGACACTTGCGTAGTCGAAGCCTTTCCTCCCCCCACTGCATTGGATAATTCACCCATATTGGTTAGAAACAAAATAAATCATTGAATCCCTCCAGTGCAGAAAGAGGCCATTTGGCCCATCACACATGCACTGACCCTTTGAACAGCATCCAATCCAAACCCTCCCCCTCCCCCTCCCCCAATGATTACCTATGACTACCTGAACTGTATTAAACCAAAGTTAATAGGTATTAGTGAGTAATTCTTTTGCTAGTAGGGTCCACCTCTAATCTTCTCTCGCCTCACTTTCCCATTACTAATTTGTTAATGTGTTAAATCTCTATTGTTGATACATCTCTGATTGCTGGCTGCACTTGATGTAAAAAACACACATTGATAAACATTTTGCTAGAGTGCTGGTAAACCCAGAAAGTTCCAACTAATTGTTGTCAGAAAGTGATAAAGAATTGCTCTTACTGCAATACTACCCACCTTCACTAAGCAGCATACTTGACATTGGAACATTTTACTACCTTTAAAAGTGCTACATGATTCAAGTTGTTGTTAATTCACCATTGTGAAGGATTGAATCTGTGCCTTCCTAGTTAATCTGTTACAACCTGAAGGTCTTGTGACCTACTGCATTAGTGCCATGTGGAAAGAATAACATAGTTGTCAGATTACATTTTGTGCATATGATGGCACTGAATGTTATAGATTGGAATAGCTGTAGATTGAATTCTGTCCAGTTCCAGATTTTCAATGCAAGTCAGGAAGAGGTAACTTGAGCTTTCTCACCTAGTTACTTACAGCTGAATTGTCACAAATATTCTTTGCAAGAAAAATTGAATACATCATTCTAATCCAGGTGTGCATGTTTCAATTTGAACAGCACAACAGAAGTTCTGCTGTAGAGTGCTAAACAGTATATGTAGGTGGTTACAGTATTCTGTCTGTACAGTTTGGTTAATAAGGCAGATTTTTATCACAGGCTTTCCAAATGGGTGAATCAATTAGTAGTTTCGCTGGAGTTTCATACCATAATATATTTTCTTGGTGCTGCTGATCTTCAGAACTAAGATGAAGTTGTCTTTATCGACTCTTTTTATTTGTCTGAAGAGTTGCTCTTGTAAGTTTGGAATTTTTTCCTTGTTTTGTGCAACTTATTTGGCCTTTATTTGTGATTAGTGGATTTAAAAAATAGGCTACTTTAGAGAATGTTTAGGGGCATTTGTGCAATTCAACTTACATTAATGCTTTTTGGCCTTTTTTATTTACTGTTCTAGCATGGCAAAATGTAATTACATCATACGTAAGCATGGATGATCCACCAAACTGGAAAATTTCCAGCTGTAATGGTGAAATCTCATGGCAAAGTCAGCTTTACAAATAACAATGTTCCAGATTCATTTCCACTCTATCTGAGTTTGTTGAGCTCCAATGAAAAGAATGATTAGTACAGTGATGTAATTCACCTCAGCACTAATTCAGGCTAAGAAGAGGCATCTCAGTAAGAAATTATACTTTTGGCTGCTGTTCAAGATCCTTAGTAAAATGTGTTCCCTTTAAATACATGTTGCTTGCACGTGATTGAGGATGAGTTCTGGTGAAATCAGACCTCCTGATGTGAGGTTCAGTTGGGATAGATGTGCAGTGATGTACTGTAAACTATTTTTACTGTTTGTACTGCCAGTATTCTCTTTGCCATGTTGTTCCCCTTCATGCATTCCTCCCTGATTATAACAATGTTGTACCCATTTACATAGTATCTTGATTTGCGTTGGTTTCCGTTAAAGCTGTATGTGATGATGAGCTGTTAAACATTCTGTACATTTTATACATAAAATTGATTGTTCTTTTATTTTTTCAGAAACTGAAGGTTTCAAGATTGATACAATGGGCACCTACCATGGTATGACACTCAAATCTGTGACGGTAAGTGATGTTTCCTCGTCTAATGGATTGAAAATCAGCAGAAATTTAACATTTAAATACAAAACATGCAAAAGGTTTGTTGTGCTCAGTTTGCATAGTTTGGAAGAAGACAAATAGCAAATTGATGCCTTAAGAATTCATTCAGTGGATGTTGGTGTATCCAGCAAGACTAGCCTGTGAGGACACTTAAGTAGTAATCACATTGTTGTGGGGGCTGAAGTCACATAGGCTAGTTTAGGTAAGGATTTTTGAACCAAGTATGATTTTTTTAACAATTTGAGTCTGGTCGTTTAATTTAGTCATGATGGAAAGTAGTTTTTTTCCCCCCAGATTTTACTTTTGTTAACTGAATTCAAATTCTCCAGCTGGCATGATGGAATTTGAATTCATGTCTTTGAAATTTTTAGTCCAAGCCCCTATACTACTACCGTTTCAGTGATGTAACCATTAAGTCATCATACTCTTTTAAAGAACTATATTGTTCCTTTTTAAGCATAATGTAAGCAGTTGAAATAAAATCCTTGGGATTGATTTGAGCCTTTTCCTGAAAGGCTAATCTACCTTCAATCCAAAATCAGTCTAAATTACAATTCGTTGTGGCAAATTCTGCTATAATTCCCAACAGTCCATTTTAAGAAATGTATATTTAATTGGGTAATCGCCTCTTTTACTGTTATCTCTCACTACTCTGAAGAAGCTAAATTAGGTTGCTACAGGATGGCATTACCCTCCTGAGGCTACAGATTACTTATGGGAAGCAGAAGGTGTCTGTCCTTGAGCAGGGGTTATTGTGAAGGAAAACAAAAGATAAATTGGGCAAAAGAGCAGTACAATATTGTGCTATCATTTGGTTTAATCTTCGAACCTGCAGATTCAGTGGCGCACCATAATTTTTATTATTAAGTGACAGCAGCATGAAAACTGGCTTAAATACATAAGATGTGCAATAGACCATTAATTTTAATGGAGCCGGAGCCATGATAATTACTTTCTAACTGTTGTTAGTGACGGTAAAGTTGCCAAGAAAATATTCAGTCGCGTAATTAATAGTGTAAGTCACTTGCTTCTTATTTCCCCTCTTGTGCTGATCACACTATTCAAACTGAATAAGGTCAGTAATAACTAGGTACATAGACATAAGAAATATGTAACAGTTTGTAGCAGTGGAATGCAGTTGGAAGGTGTCTTAATTTTGAGTTTTATTGATTACTTAGTGGAACTGTTGTGCGATTAAGGCGGTGCCAATGTAATCACTAATATTATGCTGAATAAATGGGTAATTGCCTTTTCATTTGATAGTGTATTTTAAAGGTACTGTACGCAATCTCTCTGTACTCTGAACTAAATGCATTGTTTAATATTTTTTCTGTGAAATATTAGGGATATGAAAGTTTTTCATTACCCTTTCAATGCACTTAAAGTAAATGTTCCCAACAAATGAAAACTTCACACTTGTCAATGTTTGCTGCTTCTGTCTTTACTGAAATGTTTTTGTTCTCTCTACTTTAGAGAGCAGGACAGGCTGCTTAATTGTGATCATGCTGGAGCTATTGTATAATCTCCAAAGCAGCATTGTTTTTCTGTCTCATGTTATTTCACATGCGATTTGTCAATTGACTTGTGTGGACTATAATGGCATTTTGAACTTCAAATCAAATGTGTTTCATGTGTCACAAACAAAAAATTCCTGGAGAAACTGAGTTAATGTTTCAAGTCCAGTGACCCTCCTTTACTCTTTTTACTTGTCAGTTGTTCTAAAAGGCATCCTGTAGAAGGTAACCAGACTTTTCAATTCGGGGAACTGGTCGACAATTATGTTGTTTCTTCTTTGTTTTAAAACTGTACAAATGTTTTACCAATTACTTGGCTACTGTCTATGAACAAAGGAGTCTTCTGTCACTCACACCAGAATTAAATTCTTGGGAGTATGGATTAAACTAAAGAAGCTTCCTATGGCATAACCTTTCGGTAATCCTGAGTTTCTTTGTTCAGACTCAGCCATTTGTTCACCTGGGAAAGGGTCCTAAGTCATTTTTACCTGAACCAGTAAAATGATATGGATAATTTTTCTTGAAATGCAAAGCTGACCATTTTGGGGGTTGACATTCTCCAGTTATGGACTAATGAATCATGTTTATTAAAATGGGCCACGCGACGAATCAGACTATCGGGCAGTAAGTTTAGCATTAATTTGGGAACAGGTCTTCAGAACAATTTTGAATGAACTCTTTTGAAGGGAGTGAGCATAAAATCAGAGATTTGTTCAGGAAACTTGATTTTGAGATCACACTTGATTTGGTACACTTAGATTTTCAAAAAGTATTTTGACAAGTTTCACCTTGAATATCAATGACTACAGTAATGGCTTATGAGTAATTCATCTAAAGTTACAATGAAGGATAGCTATTTATGGAAGTTTGTCCAGTTGATAAATTATGAGCAAGGTCCTCGAGAGTTCATCTTGGGTCATTATGACTTTTAACAAGGAATAATGAAGAGACAGACTGTCTAGGTTTGCATCTGCAAACTTTAAAATTGTCCCCTGCACACCAAGATCTAGATCATTAGTTTGGATCAGGCAGTTGTCCTCAAGTGGGTGCTAGAGTTAAAAGGGAAGGAAACCAAACACCAGAAATTTGAGCATCGATGAAATTAATGGTTTATTTGAAAATGGGAAATCTTTAGATGATCTAATTGATAGCTTCAAGATTATGAAAGTAATTGAAAAAATTGACCCAAGAAAATCAATTCAAAAATTATCTCTGTAAATAGTTTGACGTAATGAGATCTTTAAATATAGGTTGGCACAGGTTATAAACATTAAACATTTAATAGTAAGTAAAGAAACTGCTGAGTTTTATAACCAAGGAGCTGTGGAATTAAAGAATAAATTACAAAGAAAGAACACTGACATAGAAAAATTCAATCGCTTATATTCAACAGATGCAATCACCCTCCGAGCTACCTTGGTTTTCTGGTTTATCTTTCTGAGGAAAGAGACAAGTCAAGCCTGTCCTTTTCTGTCTTACATGTGGTCCCATTCACATGGTTCATCCTTAATGTTCCCAGGGCAATAAATATACAGCCTTACTAGTACTATCCAAATCCTAAGTACAGTAGGAAAAATTAAACCTGTTGGTTGTGTTTACAAGTGAGGAATGTCGTAAGTTAAACAGTAAAATTGCATTTGCTGAAAAGAGAAATTTGGTTTAATTTTCATGAAGTCTTTATGGACTCAGACTTGCACTTTTTTCTGAAAATTTCTTTATTGTAGTTAGGCGAGGATTAATTTCTAGGGAATGTATGTTAAGGTAAAAGTGTTCTGTGTTGTTTGATTTTTCACGTCTTATTTTTGTTTGCTCGTGGGATATGTGCATTGCTGGCTGGTCAGCATTTATTGTCCATCCCTAGTTCCCCTTGAGAAGGTGGTGGTGAGCTGCCTTCTTAAACCGCTACAGTTCATGTGCTGTAGGTAGACCCCATTCTTAGGGAGGGAATTCCAGCAGCAGTGAAGGAATGGTGATATATTTCCAAGTCAGCATGGTGAATGGTTTGGAGGAGAACTTGCACATGGTGGTTTTCCTGTATAACTGCTCCCTGTGACCTTCTGGATAGAAGTGTTTGTGGGTTTGGATCTAAGGATCTTGGGTGAATTTATGCAGTGTGCCTTGTAGATAGGTATACATTACTGCTGCTGAGGTGGAGGGAGTGAATGCTTGTGGATGTCATGCCAATCAAGTGTGCTGCTTTGTCCTGGATGGTGTCAAGCTGCTTGAGTGTTGTTGGAGCTGCACTCATCCAAGCAAGAGGGGATTATTCTATTGCACACTTAACTTGTTCCTTGTACATGGTGGACAGGCTTCAGGGAAACAGAAGGTGAGTTACTTGCCACGTATTCCTAGCCTCTAATCTGCTTTTGTTGCCATTGTATTTATATGGCTAGTCCAATTGAGTTTCTAGTTAATGGTAATCTCTAGGATGTGAATAGTGGGCGATTCAGTGATGGTATCATCATTGAATGTCAAGGGGCAGTGGTTAGATTGTCTTGTATTAGAGATGGTCATAGCCTTGCATTCACTATTGCTAAGTTTGAGGGTGACAAAAACATTTAGGAAGACAAGTGATGAGGATGATGCAAAGAGTCTGCGGGGGATATAGACAAGTTATGAGAGGGCAAAACTTGGCAGATGGAATATATTGTGAGTAAGTGTGAAGTTATACACTTTGGCAGCAAGAGCAGATGATCTGGACATTTATGAGGAAGGCTGCAGAAAGCTGCAGCACAGGAATTTGGGGGTTCACATGCATAAATACCAAAGAGTTATCATACTAGTCCAGTAGGTAATAGGAAAGGCAAATGGAATGGTGACTTTTATTTCAAATAGAACAGGGTATGAAAACATGCAAGTCTTGCTGAAACTATGCAAGGCAGTCGTTAGGTTGCACCTAGAAAACTGTGTATAATTTTGGTTGGCTTGTCAAAGGAAAAATATACTGGCATTGGAGGCAGTCAACAGAACATTCATTAGGTTGACTAAAGGCAAAATACTGCAGATGCTGGAAATCTGAAACAAACTCTGAGAATGCTGGAGAAACTCAGCAAGCCTCAGAGAGAAACGGAGTTAATGTTTCAAGTCTGGTATGACTCTTGAGTTCTGAAGAAGAGTAACACAGTACTTGAAATGTTTACTCTTGTTTCTCTTCTCCACAGATGCTACCAGGTTTGCTGAATTTCTCCAGCGTTCTCGTGCTTGTTTCACTAGGTTGATCCTGGATATGAAGGGATTTTCTTATTAGGAGAGGTAGGATAGGTTGGGCCTCTTTTAGAAGAATAAGAGGTGACCTTATTGAAACGTAAAAGATTCTTAGGGGGCTTAACAAGGTAAATCCTAAGAGATTGTTTCCACTTGTGGGAAAGTCTAAGGCCAGAGGGCATAATCTCAAGGTGAGGGTTCATCCATTTAAGACGGATGAGGAGAAATTTCTTCTGAGGGTAACAA